CGGTAATCATCTACCCCAAGATTTGCCGATAATCCTCGTCGGTACGAAAACTCTGCTACTAGAACCTGGAAGGGCGAAAAATAAGGGTGAGTGGGCCTGAAAAAAAAAAGTATTAATAAAAACCTTTTGAAAGCGTTATAACCCCTCACCGTAAAACTCGTACAGTTTCCAGAAAATAATACTATGGTAGGTACGAAAAATGAATGCACAGGTGCAGTAAAAACTAGGGGTGGGTAAACGGGTACAAACCTCGGGTCAAGGCGAGTAATCAAGGTTCGGGGCGGGTACGGGCCGGTTCCAATTTTTTAAGAATAGAAATGGGGCGGGGCGGGTCCATAGCATTTAAGGGGCAGGCCGAGTCCTAGGATTTGGAATAACAGGGCCTCGGACGGCCCGTTTCTAACTATAACCCATTTACTTATTCTCTAAACTAATCCATTATCCATTCCATCCCATCGTCCATTTCCTTCCTGGACTTAAACCAGACTCCCACTGTATTCATCTCCTCCACCTCTACCACGACTCAACTCCCTCGACGGCACCACCTATTCCTCATTCTCTTTTCCCTCCCACCCTCAAATTCATTGCGCCGATTGCTTCAAGATGTCTATAGAACCGATCTGGATGGAGCATCAAAATTCAAAAAACCTAGGAGATCAATCAGATTCTGAAATACCCATTTAAAGAACACAAAGGCATTGCCCCTACGTGCACATTTTTGACAAAAGGTTTCATCTTAGTGGAAAATATAATTAAAAATTAGGACTTTCTGCCTTTCATCAGAAGGATATGGAATTCATCTTTGATTTAGTAGGCGATGGCTTCGCCGTCGTGCAAAGCATACAGAATCATGGTGCTCAACACCCAAAAGCTCATCGTTGCCAGCGACATGTCCGCTAACAGGGTTCAGTTCACGGAGTACATATAGAAGACTGCCATCGTTGATCTGAGTCAGATTGGAGCCTCGCGCCATCGTAATCGATCGGAGTCGAGAGACAGAGACCTTGATTTAGGATTAGGAAAGATGAGCAAGAGAGAGAAGGACCACCACCTTCACCGATTCACCACCGGTAGTTCAGTTGCTGGTGTGGGTAGCTTCTAACCAGTCGATTTCGTTGGTCGTGGGAGCAATCTGGAAATGTGGAATGTTCTAAAGCTCTGTATCAAAACTGGAAAAGAAAAAAAAAGTTAATTGGACCCATGGACCCACCTCGAACCCGCCCATTTGAAATGGGTCGGGTTAGGGTCGGTTCCCAAACTTAAAAACCCTCTACCCGATCTGGCATGTCTCGTTACTGTTTAAAATGGGTAAGGTCCGGTTCCTTCAAAATTGGGCCTGGCCAAGCCCGTGCCCAGCCCTAGTAAAAACAGAAGCACGTCATGCCACAATATCTCAACAATAATAAATGTAACCCAAGTGTGAGATTAGTCTAAACTAATATGCCAGTCGAAGTCACCAAATGTGACCTATACGTACGAATGGACCTATTGTTCATCAGTCTATGCTAGCACACGAGTCAGAGTCACCTAGTGTGACCTGTATAACAGGCTGGGTGTTAATATGTATGCTCTAGTGCTACAATCATGTGAAAGATAACGTTATGCGTGGGTCACCTAAAAGTTGGAACCACATATTATGGTTTGTACGACAGGCTAGCACCAAACTTGGATCCAAGGCGAGCCTGCAGTATGGGAGGTGAACAATCACGTGAAGGTTGTGCTTTGGCCTGAGGCGGGATCACTAACACCGGGGTGCAGCAATGATGAGCTCTAAATAAATATATGCATGCTCATATAATTCAACCATTTCAATCACATAATAACTCACATGAACTTACTTGCGCCTCCGTAGGATCATTTGGCATAACCATAAATCTCATCACAATGCAATATTTAAATATAACACATTTAAATCATGGCCTGCTATGCATAATCAATTTTAAACATTTCTAGAAAATCGTAAGATGTGTGTGTGTGTGTGTGTGTGTGTGTGTGTGTGTACACTATAAAAAGGAAAAAGACCCACTCACTTGAGGTCCACGCTACAGCTTCCTAGCACAAATATCGAGGTGTCACAAACGATCGGCGCCTAAAACAATTATCAAATCACGTCTCAAAATTCTTATCAATAGAACACGTAACTTACATATCCTACTCGGAAAGATCCATACTTCGGATTCCTGTAAGTTTCTAATATCCTCAAATATTACGTACTATAACGTATCAAAGTTTGGTGACAATCCAATGGTCGGAGCGTCGATTGCTATAATAATCAAGTGGCGGACCTTAATGGAACTAGGTTCAAACTAAGGAAATTCATCAATCGGACTTCACGTACGGAATTGGCGAATCAAATTTAGCCTAGGAATGTCAGGGGATGCCTTGGCCCATGTGCTGCTGCTGTACATGGCGGTCGACCGCCCCGACTCACCGAAAAAATCAACTATTTCTAAAAATTCTCAAACTTCACATAAATGAAGATCTCAACGAGTATAGCAAGTTTTATACCTATGGCTAAGTCCAATTTGGCCGGGAAAAGCTTGAAATCGCCACCAACCCTTTGAAACCCTAGAATTTGGGTGTGCATTAATTCGACTCCTCCGGTGCTCTACCGCCTCTATTGTTGGTTGGGGTTTGTTCCTGGGTTCAAGGAGAGTTAATGGTGGTAGAGATCTACATAAATCATTTCACAAATGGTGATTCAAGGCCGAGACCCACCCAGACCCGTCAGTGGGTTTTCTCACCACATCGGGGCTAAAATTTGTCGGGTTTGGTTAGAATTAGGTGATGGGGTGTTGTGGTGAGGTTTGGTGGTGATGGAAGGTTAAAGAAGGCCGAAAAATTAGACGGAAAACCGTGGGAAAACTCCAAGGAAATGGGTCATCACGCGGGTCAAAGGAAACCCGATTGATTCCCTCCATCTCCTTTTCCCTCCTTTCCCTTCTTGGTCTCTCTTCCCATTGGTCACTCACTTCTCTCTCTTCTCCCGATTGGGCAGTGCCCATCCTCCTTCCTCTCCTTTATCTTTTATCTCCACAACCCAACTTTTCTTCCCTTTAATCTGGGCCACACATGTGGCTTTCCAAATTTTGCTCCAAAAATCTGGAGCATTCCAGAAAATAATAAATTTACAATTTTGCTCTCAACTTCATTTGTTAACAACTCATTCTCATAACTCCAAATTACGTTCCATTTGCGTCCATGCGTTCGTAGCGACGAGTACTACGAGGATACACCAAGAAAATGAACCTTACGTAACATGACAAGACGGTCAACAAAAGTCAATGTCTTTGCCTTAAAGGGCATTTCCGTAAATTCACATTTAAAATTTATAAAGACTAAAATTTTTGGGGACGGGTCGTTACATAAATTATATAATTGAAGAGATAAGCTATACAATACGAATTTAGTTTTGTTTTTTTTTTTTCTATTGAAATAGCAGTTTTAGTGTAGCAAAGCTACCTTGGGCAGTAAGCAACTCAATTCCCTTAGTGAACAACTAATTGCCAATAGTAAACAATAATTGTCCAAATGCATCTCCACATCTCCACCCCTAAATTGAATAGCCCAGAAAATTTGTATTAAAATATTATGTTTTATAAAAGATTAAAAATAATTTTATTTTTAATTTCGGATGATAAAAAAATATTAGTTGAAAGTATTTGAAAATTTTGAAATGTGGTGTAAGGTGGAAGAACATGGTTAGGTATTTACAGAAAAAATTATAATTTTTTTATATTTTTATTGTATTTTTAATTATTTTTTATATCTCTTTATAAAAAAAAAAAATTTATTTGATTACTTTTTTATAAATTTTTATAATTTTTTGTAATTTTTTAATTTTTTTTTACGTGACTTGAGCATTGCTTCATATAATCCAAGCGCTGGGCCTGTCGATTTCTGCCTAGGGGAGAAACTAGGCTCCCCTGGAGTCCAGTGGAGTTGGATATCGTGGAGCCCTTTTTGTTGGGGGGAGGGATTGGATCACGGTGGAAGTGCTCTAAGGGGAATGGGTGTGCAGAGCCTTACAATGGGTTAACAATAATATGGTTCAAATTCGCTTTGGCAAAAATCAAACCTAGGACTTCTCACTTACAAGTGAAGAAGAATACCACTAAACCGTATTGCTAGGTGGCCACTACGAAATTAGTTGAATTTATACACAAGCATATGTAACCAAATATTAAGAAAGAATAATAAATTGCATATGGGAAAAAGTTAGAAAATATAAAAAAACTTATAAGATATATGAATATCTTAATTATGTTTAGAAATTTTGAAGATTACTCTGATTCCGAAATTTTAGAACAAAAATTGGAAACATTGATTATGATCCAATCCTTCCGAAAAACGTCTCTACTCCTAACAACTAACTATTTGATCTACTAACTAGTTTCTCGCTTTGTCAGCGAGAACGGCTTGGAAGGATACCATTACCAGTGAAGTGAAAGAAGATTGCAAACTTGAGATTTTAGAAGGGGCATTTCAAGAATTGAACAAGGTGAGGTTATCAAATTTAAACTAAAACTCAAAATTGAAGGTTAATTTTTGAAAACTCAAGAAATCAGTTTTATAGTTTTTAGTACTATGGTGGTGTTTCTTTTCACTTATAAGTGAAAGTTTTTAGGTTCGATTCTTACCAAAGACGAATTTGAACCACATTATTACTAGCTCATTGTGAAGCTAAATCCACCACATTCCCCTTAGTGTATATAATATCGTTTGTTTAAAAAATAAAAAATAAAAAAAACCGACCACTTAGTACTACAATTTAGTGGTATTTTTATTCACTTATAAGTGAGAGGTCTTAGATTCGATTCTCGCCGAAGACGGGTTTGAACCACGTTATTGCTAGCCCATTGTAAGGCTAAGCCTACCCTTTCCGTTTTAGTGTAAATAATATCGTTTGTTCCAAAAAAAATAAAAATTTACCAAGAACGTTGTCGTTCTCTTTAAACGTCTAAACTTTTCCCCTGTTTCTTCCTCGCGAGGCCGCCAGAACCAACTCTGCAACTGTACACTTTTGTTCTGAACTTTCTGATAGACCCCAACTTCTTCAATTGCCGAAATGCCCCTCCCGAAACATCATATTTACAAGCTACCTTCACTTCACCGGTCCCCCTCCGACGCCGCCCTCGCCGACAAGGCAATCACCTACCTCAAACGCCACCCTCAACACCTCACTTCTCTATCTTCCCATTTTACCCCAGAGGCAGCCTCCTGCGTCCTCCTCAAGTCCCAATTCGACCAAACCCTAACCCTAAATTTCCTCAACTGGGCTCGAAACCGCCAATTCCTGACCTTCCCATGCAAGTGCCTGGCGCTCCACATCCTCACCCGCTTCAAGCTCTACAAGTCCGCTCAATCCCTCGCGGAGGACGTTGCCCTCAACACCGTCGACGATGGGGGCAGTTTGGTCTTTCAGTGCCTCGCTGACTCCTTTCATAGCTGCAATTCGAGCTCGGCGGTCTTTGACTTGGTGGTGAAGTCTTACTCTCACTTGAATTTCATTGATAAAGCAATGAACATTGTTAGTTTAGCTAAAGTTCATGGATTTATGCCTGGTGTGCTGTCGTATAATGCGATTTTAGATGCAATTATTAGGTCGAAAGGGTCGGTTAAATTTGCAGAAGAGGTGTGGAGTGAGATGATTAGGAATGGGGTCTCTCCGAATGTGTATACTTACAATATTTTGATTAGGGGTTGTAGCGGGGCGGGGAATTTGGAAATGGGGTTGTATTTTTTAGGTGAAATGGAAAGAAATGGCTGTTTGCCGAATGTGGTTACTTATAATACATTGATTGATGCCTATTGCAAGTTGAAGAGGATTGATGAGGCGTTTGAACTGTTCAGATCGATGGCGTTCAAGGGTTTGGAGCCGAATTTGATTTCTTATAATGTGGTAATCAATGGCTTGTGTCGAGAAGGCAGGATGAATGAGACAATTCAGGTCCTTGATGAGATGAAAAGAAAAGGTTTTGTTCCTGATGAGGTGACTGGTAATACACTCATTAGTGGATATTGTAAGGCAGGCAATTTTCATCAAGCACTTGTTTTGCAAGAGGATATGCAGAGGAATGGCTTGTCTCCAAATGTCGTCACATATACAGCATTGATTAACGCCATGTGTAAGGCTAAGAATTTGAAACGAGCAATGGAGTTTTTTGATCAGATGCGTATTAGAGGACTTCGTCCAAATGAGAGGACATATACTACATTGATTGATGGCTTCTCTCAACAGGGGTTCTTAAATGAAGCTTACGGTGTTCTGAATGAAATGATTGGGAGTGGATTTTCACCTTCGATTGTGACTTGCAATGCCCTTATCAATGGATACTGCTTATTAGGGAGGATGGAGGAGGCCATTGGAGTTATACAAGACATGATAGGTAAAGGTTTGTTCCCTGATGTAGTAAGTTATAGTACTATTATAACTGGGTATTGTCGGCATAAGGAATTGGAGAGCGCATTTCGAATGAAGCAGGAGATGGTGGAGAAGGGTGTATCACCTGATGCAGTTACCTATTCATCACTCATTCAAGGTGTCTGTCAGCAAAGAAGACTAGTTGAAGCTTGTGATCTGTTCCAAGAAATGTTAAGCATGGGTATGCGTCCTGATGAATTTACGTACACAACCTTGATCAATGCTTACTGTGTGGAAGGGGACTTAATCAAGGCTCTAGAGTTGAATAATGAAATGATACGAAAAGGTTTCTTACCTGATGTTGTTACATACAGTGTGCTTATTAACGGACTTAACAAACAAGCTCGGACAAGGGAAGCAAAGAGGCTTCTGCTCGAGTTGTTTTACGAGGAGTCTGTTCCCGATGATGTCACATATAATACACTAATAGAGAACTGCACTAATAGTGAATTTAAGAGCGTGGTGGCCCTTGTAAAGGGATTCTGTATGAAGGGTTTGATGAAAGAAGCAGACCAAGTTTTTGAGACGATGATTAAGAGGAAATACAAGCCTAATGAGGCAGTTTATGATGTTATTATACATGGTCATTGTAGGGGTGGAAGTGTTCAGAAGGCATATAATCTATACAAGGAGATGTTGCATTTCGGTTTCATTCCTCATACTGTGACTGTTATTGCGTTGATTAAAGAACTTTTCACCGAGGGAATGAACAAGGAATTGAATCAAGTCATAGGGAACATGCTTAGGAGCTCTCAGGTTAGTGACGCTGAGCTTGCAAAACTACTCGTTGAAGTCAACCATAAAGAAGGAAATATGGATGCGGTATTTAATGTGCTTAGCGAAATGGCCAAGGATGGCCTCCTTCCAAATAGTGGAGTAGCAGCCTGTGCAGGGGGGTAAATAATGGCAAACATTCTCTTACTGAAAAGAACAAAAATGATGGCAAGCATTCAAGCTGATTGCGATCTTTTTGACTGACCAAGTGAATGAGGAAGGTGCATACTGAAGTGAACCTTTGAGCTTATATATTGGTCAGTGATTGAGAACGGAATTGAATTCTATCACCTTTATTAGAGTATTGTCGGACACAACATTAAGGGAACCAGTGGTGGCTTCTGCCAGCGAGGCCTAGTCACCCAGGCCTTCAGCCACCTTTTTACGAAGATTCTTCAGTTATGCTCAATGTAAGTAACATTTGTGACATTTATTCACAGAGGCCTAATCACTACACTTTCCTTCTTTTCAGAGTTATGCTCAATGTAAGTAACATTTGTGACACACAGTATTGATTTATGTGTAGTTTGCATTTGGTTTCGAATGCTGTTTGTGGTGGACAGCATATTCGAACAGAAGTTTTGAAGCTTTCTGGAAATGCCATTTTGTTTTTACTCTGTACTTTTCTAATCTGTACTCATGGATCAATTATGGGAGGCTCTCACTAGATCCTCTCACAACGTCTGGTAGCGGTTTCTTCTTGGTTAGGTATCCATGTCTGTCTTTCACTCAATGCATTCTGTAATGTGTGCTTGTGTTCAGCTGCAAGTGCACGCAGAGACTATATAACCAAAGAATCTACCACGCATGGTGTTGTTCTTGGTCAATTTATGACATTGTCAGCTTTCTTCCTCGTATTTACGTGCACTCACGATTTATTTTAGAACTTTACGGTCTCAGTTAACAGAGTTTCAGCGGTTAGCATCAATTTCTTACTACTGAATCTTTCTGTTGTAGGTAGACTCAATTTCATACAAAAGCACAAGCAAACAAGAAAGTAGTAAGTTTTCTCTTCGCTTGAAAGAAACTGAGCATTATGTTTCGCTGCTTGAGAGGCAAAGGATGTGGATTTCAAGCTGCATTTGATTGATTTGATGGATGCTATTCTCTTCTCGATGCGCCAAGGCTTAAAACTTCATGTATTCATGGCAAAATTGCTCGTGCAACTATTTTGTTTGTTTGATGAAAGGAAATTGAAAGACGCATCAATTTTGTGATGAATTATGAGCTAATGTTGATTATCTTAAGTTGACCCTGCTTGTGTTCTTCTCTTGACATTTTGTCTTGGCAATGGCAGCTTTTGAATTTATGATAATGGAAACACAACAACTTCCTTAAGATAAGGCGGAACATCAGGTATCGGGTGGAATCCGCCGTCAACTAGTAAATTGGTCTTTGCTACTTGTGACCTTCAACTTTCAAGGTTAACTACGATTCAACGCATATCAGTTCAATTGTACGCAAATTAGTCTACTTCTTGCTTCAATATAAGCGAATCTTCCGACGAGCGTACAGACCCCAAGAACAGAAACAAGAACATCAGGCCTCTTAGCCCTTACTGTGGATCAAATGCACCAAAGAATTACTCTCATCAATATGATAATTTCGACATAAACATTGCAAGGTTACGATGCACAAGATTCTTCCTAAAGACTAGCTACAAGGACATATTACTCTGATCCCCTTCATCTTCAACGACTAGTGCTAAACACATAAAATGCAGTAGACCTGATGAACCACTAGTGGATTTCCACTCCTTCCGCCAATCCTGTAACTTCACTACCAAGTCAGTCGGCCCCAACAACTATCTCAGTCATCACATATTTAGCTTAATTCAAGTACTCCAGCCTAAAACCTAAAACGAACAACCAAGATAACATTCAAATGAACATCCTTACATAGAAAAATAAAAGGTTTGAGAAGCCACCCCTTTACCCTGAAAGGATGCGTGTCTTATCTCGACGAAAGCCTCTGATGCAAATCATCTGCCAATGCTTGCCTCAAGCTTTCCCCATAGTAGTAAGAATCCTTCTCGCTTTCAAGCACCCTGGGCGGCGGCCCACTCTCATCCGGGTCCTTCCAGAGCTCCGGTTCAGGCTCCCTCGCAATTTGGCACAAGTTATGCAACACGCAACAAGCAACAATGGTCTGAGGCACATGATTAATACCCACATTGAGGTCCTGCAGAATCTTCCACCTCCCTTTAAGCAGCCCAATTGCCTCAACCACAGCAGACCTCCCCTTCATAAGCATTCCGTCGAACAGGTTCTGGGCAGGAGTCCCCATCCCATTCCGCGAAAAAGGTGTCAGCATAAAGGACATCAAGGGGTAGCACCAGTCCCCAACAATGTAAGGCCTCACATGATGACCCCTCACATTGATTATCTTCTCCCAAACATCGCCGGAAGTCAGCTTATTGTACAAAAGACTATCTCTGAAATGGGTGGCGTCGTCTGTGCCGCCAGGGGCTTTCACACACACATCCCAGAAGATTTTCTTGTGATCCGCCACGACCTCGAGCAAAACCGAAGGGTACCCATATCGGCATTTGTAGTTTCCGGGCAAATTGTGCTTATGGAGCTTGATTGGGCTGCCGTCAATGGCGCCACACATGTTGGGGAGCGACGTAAGCTCCTCGAAAGCCTGGGTGGTTTCAATTAGCCTGCGGCGGGAGATGGGAATCTTGATAAACTCAGGGTACAGCTTGGTGGCGAGGAGGCGGGTGACCATGTTGGTAATCTTGGAGACGAGGTATGGATCGAGGGAGTAGCGGGAGGCAAGGGTTTGGGCGGAGAAGCCGTGGGAGAGGCGGGAAAGGACCATGGCGACAGCGTAGTCAGAGGGGAGGGAGAGATTGGAGAGGGCGATGTGGGGTTTGAGCTTCTCGACGACGGTAGTGAAGACAGGGTAGGAGAGGCCGTAGAGGGACCGCCATTGGGCATCGCGGAGAGGGGCTTCTAGGGACCAGATGTGTTCGGTGGAGAGGGCTCGGAAGGCGGAGACGGAAAAGGCGGATGCGGCGGCGGTGTCGGTGGAGGCGGGGGGTGGGTTTTGGGATGAGGAGGAGGAGGGTTTGGTGCGGGAGGTGGCGATGAAGGAGAGGACGGAGGCGATGGTGAAGAAGAGGAGAGGGGCGGCGGAGGAGGAGGCGAGGAGGGAGGTTGGGGTGGGGGAGGAGGAGGTGGTGGGGGAGGAAGATGCGGCGGCGGCGGTTGTGGGGGTGGTGGAGAGGAGGGAGGTTGTTGGGTCGATTGAGTTGTGGAGATGGAGGAGGTTTGACAGCATCAAGAGAAACGTTTCATCCATTTTTTTTCGATTGAAGTGTTTTCTTTTCCAGTTACAGTTTATCACAACCCTCTGAACTGAAAGAAATATCTGCACAAGTTCCTCGAGTTTGGAGTTGGAAGCGAAATTAAAACATTTCTTTTTTTTTTTCTTTTTTTTTTTTTTTTTTTTTTTTTTTTTTTTTGTGGTGAACAACATTTTAATTTTGTTACCCAAAAAAACATTTCAATTAAAACTTTTTTACAAACGAAACCATAACGTTGATGAGTTAAATTCAACTTAATTTGCCATTTTAATTTCTAACTTGAGTTAAAAAAATATGCATGAATTGGGCTAAAAGGTTATAGGCAGAGGTTAGAAGGCCGGCTTCAATAGATTAGAACAATATTTGGCTCCCTATGTATATGAAGCTAATTTATTTTTTATCATCATTGAAAGATCAGAAATTCATTCAATTTTGTGACTATGTTATAAACTAAACTTTATAAAACGTAAGAGGGAAAAGGTGTAAATGCACGTGTGAATAAGACGCTAGAATTTTATTTATATATATGCAGTGACGGATCTAGAATTTTAAACTCGGAGGGTCCCAATAATAAAGGTCAAAAAATTTATAAACAAAAATAACGTCGAAAAGTTAAATATAATACATTTCATTCAAAAATCATGTGCAAAACAACATTATAAGCTATAAAATCCTAATTAAAGCGTCCACGACGAGATTTCATAGTCTGAAAATGTTCCATGATAGCTTCATTACCAATATATGAAAAAACATCTTTCTCAATGTAAACAACTAAGCTGTCATTTAACCATTGATCTCCTATTTTGTTGCGAAGTGGACTCTTAATGATATTCATAACGGACAATGTCATCTCCACTGAAGCAGTTGCAACTGGTAAAACCAAAGTCAACTGAACAACCAAATATACATATGCAAATGTTTGATGCAACCCTTTCTCCACCATTTTCTTAGCAAGCTCATTAATCCCCCGCAATTGAGAAAAATCATTATCAAAACGCACAAAATGGGAACTCATACTTTGTAGGCCTACAAGGTCCCATTTGCAAATATGCTCTTCGGACCTCATCTTGAATATTAGAAGGATAGTCTTTCATTCGAATTATTTTTCCCGGGTCTCTCTCAAGATTATTAAAATCAATGTCACACTCATTTTGTCTTGAGCTTGAACTATCCGAACAAGTAGATGGTGCTATTGGCTTTGGCTTGAAAAATCTTTCCATATTTCTTATTTCTAAACTACACATTTAACCAAAAACACAAAACATATACCAATCAACCAATAAACAAAAATTCCATCTAAATTTCAATGATAAAATGAGTATACAAACATAAAACATATCAACAATCATATCAATAATAGACTAAAAATCTCCACCAATATCTAATATAATTTAATTGAGATTAGATTAGAATACCAAAAAGTTTACTTGAATTTTGAACCAAATAGTGGTGGCTTGGAGAATTGAAACAAGTGGAGGTATGATATTAGAGTAATGCAATTATAATATGGGATTGGGTGGGATTAGAAATTTAGGGTTTTGGAATTGGGTGAATATAAGAAAGATGGGGGGATTAGGGGGGGCAAAACAGAGGAATAGGGAAAGGACTCTTGGGAAAGATGACCCGTGTGGGGCTAGGCCTTAAAAAAGAGAGTATGGAATCATGGACAAACGGCACCATTTATCTCAGGCTTAAAAAAATATAAAATATAAAAAATAAACAAATTAAACAAATTGACCAAAACACTGCATTTTGGACCAATTTTTCAAAAGGCCTGTTTGTTTTCTTTCTTCTCCCCCGCCGCTGTCTTCGTCTTCGTTGCAAGCTGCAACCTTCAAGCTGCAGCCTGCAGTACAGACCTCGTGTTCAAGTACGAGGGGTCCTCCGGAAAATTTCTAGCAGCATTTTAGAATCGCCGAGGGGTCCTGGCACCTCCCAGGTCCCTCTGTAGATCCGTCTCTGTATATATGAATGTCTTTAACTGCTTAAGTTATAAGTTCTTTAAGGGAAAGTAGGACTATTTGCTTACTTTTTTGTTGTTGTTAAGATTAGGGGTGGACATAAAAACCGTAAAACAACGAAACCGAATCAAACCGCATCAAAATAAATTGTAAAAAGCTGTGTTGACCGAAAAAGGAAAAGTAAACTTAGGTTCAAGAACTGGACCGAACTGTTCATACCGGTTTCAGTTCTTATCTTGGCAGAATCGTAAGATCCAGACCGAACTGTTTATTTACTTTTTAAATATCTAATTCACTTGGCCCATTTCATATATAAACCCAAATGAAATTTAATTAATCCAAGCCTAAAAGTCATAACCAAACCCTAATGTTTAAAGAAGAATTACACATAGAGTATACTTTTAATACCTAATTATATATTGAGACAACATTTTTTAAACATGTTGAAGAGAGACAAAAATTAATACATATGTAAAATGACATCATCAGTGTATTTTTTTTTTTTTTTGGAGTGTAAGTTACAAAAATACCTTTATATTTGAAAAAGGTGGAGGCGCATAAACCCTAGCTAGGTGAGTGAGTGGAGGAGGTGCATAATCAGAGAAGAGAGAGAGAAAAGATGATCCAATTCGAGAAGAACCACAAGAAGAGAGGCGTGGCGCCAGTCACAGTATAGGCAAGCATCGCACACATTATGGCGGTCACGAACGCCGGAGGCATGCACCACCACCGGATCTGGGGTATTTCAATAAGGTCGGTATGACATACTTTCACAAGCTCCGCAACAAGTTTTATTGCCCCATCATCAGCGTCAACAAACTCTGGTCGCTCCTCCCCCAAGAGGCTAAGGACAATACACTGCTCATCGATGAGACTCAGTACGACTTCTTCAAGGTCATGGGCAAGGGGCCAAGATTGTATGCCCTCTCATTTTCATTCCCTTCTATGCCCTCCTATTTTTCTAGCCATTTATTTCATGTTGAGTTAATTTAATGCTCTAGATTTTGCCACTGCCATTGATTTCATGTTGAGTTAATTTAATGCTCCA